TAATTAATAATAGGAATTTTCAGTTTCTAAAAGTGCTTTCATGTGAAAGAGACTCTTAAAGGCAGTACCATAAGCTATCAAAAGCACATAAACATTAGCCAGTGAAGAAAAGGTATAATTATTGAATTGAAAGAATACAAACCATTACTCTAATCTAGTGGGAAATATAAGTATGAAAGTGAGACTTTTCCAAAGCTTTTAATACATTACTTGTTTATAATAAGTATATGCCACAGGCAACACAGCATTGTGATTTGCATAATCTTTGTTTCCTATATATAGATAAAATAATTCAAAATTACCAATGTTGTACCTGCAAATGACTTTGTCTTTTTAGTAATTCCTTTTTCTTGCTGTTACTAATGGCAGAATACACATGTAAAAAGGTCATATATCGGCTTGGTGTAGCACCATGTGCTTTACAAGACTCATGGATTAATAAAAATGATTTTAGAAAATCAGGATCAACTAGAAAAAGATAGAAAATAAAAATGACTTAATATATGCATGATTAAGAATTATAAAAAATAATCTTTACTATAGTTATTTTATATTAGATACTTCTACTCTATATTATTATAAATAGGAGATGTCATCTTTGCTTGAAGATGCACAGGCATTCCTAGACATCTATTTACAGCTCCTATCTTCCTTATGAATTTTGAATTATCTAGTTTCAGCAGTCTCTATCCTTTCACTGTCATATATTTCCTCTAAACATTTTTATTGCTGTAAGAAAGATAAATATACATGTTGTCATAACATATAAATTAATTGGGACTATATATCGCATGTACAGTAATACAAAAGTGAACTCAATAAAAGCTGCTTGAATAGAAAAGAGATATCAAACCAAATAACATCTATGCAATCCCATTTGATACAGAAAGAAACAGGACTTCAGAAGGCAAAAAGTTAAGAATAAGTTCACATTAGATTTAATATGTCCATGATCAAACCGTTATCTTCCTCTTACTGACTCAATCAATTTCCCTCTGTATTTCCTACTCCAGTGAATGAAATCAACTTCCAATAAATTTCCTAAGCCAGAACCAAGCCAGAACCATCCTTGACTCCTCCTCCTTCTTGTATGCCACAACCATTACATAATCAAATTCCATTTAAATCATCTCTAATATCCCCCAAGTCCATTCCTTCCTCTCCATTGTTACTACCTCTTCCTTGGTTCAGGCCTTCATGTTTCTCTTAGATTACTGCAATAGACTCCTAACGTGGTCGAATTGCTTTCTGTTTCTCCCTATACCAATAGGGAAAGCATAACACGGAAGGCTCTTCATTATCTGACCCTACTAACCTTCTCCTCTTCATCTGGTACTCTATTTATACATCCTTATGTTTCAGCCCTGTAGGCTATTTATAGTTCCATAAAAGTGCCTCTTTTACTTCTCCAAGCCTTTTCCATTCTCTGACCAGAATGCCCTTCACAAACTGCCTATGAGGACAATGTCTATTTCCTGTAATATCTTCCGGTTGGAAGTTTCACTTACCAATGCACTTCATATAAACTTTTACTGTCACTAATCTTGCTATATCAGAGCTTTTTGTTTATACATAACATAAATTCTTGCTATCACTAGACTATGAGCTGCTTAAGGCATTTCTAGTATCCAGCCCAGTACCAAGTATAAAACAAATTCAATAAATATTTGATGATTAGATGATTAGATAAATGAATGA